GGTACCGCCAGCTCCGAGCAGCAGCCCTGGGCTTTGGCTGCCCGATCGGCCAGGCGCAGGGTGGGAGCGAGGCATGGAGGGGCACATCCAGGCACGGAGCTGAGCCCTGCGGAGGTGGCGGAAGCGGAGGTGCTGCTCTCGTTAGCCCCGGCGCACTAATGAGCAAAGTTCACCGGGAGCCGGTCGCTGTGCCGGGTGTAGCTGAGGGAGCTGAGGAGGGGAGAAGAAGTGAGGGTGGCACAGAAGGACAGCTCGTGTTATGGACAGCCGTGGTGCCACGTGCCTGTGCAACGTTAGTAAACGCAGTTACCGAGACATGTGTTGTGGTGATGATGGATGGCAAAAGCTTTGGTGCTGCGTGCAATCAAAAGTCAGTCTAAATGCATATGTGGTGAAAGTTCTGGTGCCTGCGGAGAACTACACCTCTTCCATGGTTTTAGTCTGCATGTAGTAACAAAAAATGTCCTTTCTATATTTGAGAACTGTGGTGTGTTTTAATGCTGTATGGTTTCACTCCTATGAGGCAAATATCTCCTTCACCTGTTTGTAGGGAGTGTTGCAATGGCACGTTCTCTCTCTGGTATTACAACTCAACATGTACCTGCAGTGCGTCGGTGCAGTGTAATTAGGATTGTTTCTGTAATTGTATTTCTACACTTGTACATTGGGGAGTCAAATAATCAGTGCTGGTGTTGTACCAATCTGCTTTCGTGGAAGCTGCTCATGAGCTAATGATGATGCGACTTTTGAAAAAAAGGCTTGTACTTGCAGTACAGGAGTGTGGGAGAAAAGGAACTGTCCTTCACTTTGCAATCAGAGTAGGATGCAGAGGGGTATTTCTAGTATCTCTTTACAACGTAAACAGTCACCTCACCAAATACGCAAGCCTATTGCTGACTCTGAGTCTTGCTGTCTTCACGCATCTCTCCCTGTCACTAACTGAAGCAACAGCCGAGCAGGACTAGGAAATAGCTGTTTCCTGCAGGCAAGGCCAGCCACGTAATTGAGGATGTTGCAGGGAACAATGGGTGCATTTCACCGCTTGGCTGCTGTGCAGTGAGTTTCCATGGGTCAAATGCTGCTCTGAGTTATCTGAACTATTTCAGTTTGTTGGTTTTTTTTTTTCTGCATCGTGGGTCAGTTCTGGACTTTGTCAGTGTCCCTCGACTTGATGTCAAGGAAGACATTAATTTAAAACCAAAATTGTTACTTTCCTTCTAGTTTTTGTGAGCATATTCTGGTAGAATTTACTTTTGGCTATGATGAGTAATCCCTTCCCTGCGTCAGAAGATAAAACGATGCAGAGAAGCCCCTCCCCACCCCTAGAAAACCCTCCACATCATATTTAATTGACATAAAGTGGGACTTTGTGGCCAGTAAGAAACTGCAATGGTTGAAAGAAAACAGAACTTTTGCTCTATTGCTAGAAGGGACATTGTAGAGGAACATAAAGTGATATGTCGGGACAGGTGTTCCTAGAGCCTGCTGTGGCAGTAACCATTTGATGAAGAAACCCTTTGTTCTGAGGTAGGTTATGGGCTTTTTCTCTCCTTTTCAGCAACAATGATTTGATAACAGAGAGAAAGCTCCTGTCTGCAGTGTGAAAGGGCTCAAAGGTAGTTTTGCTAGAAAGCAGGTGATCCCAGAAAAAAAGTCGTCTTTTTTTTTTCTCCTCTCTTCACTCTGCTGAGCCAGGCATTGGAAACAAGGAGTTAAAATATTAATTATGACACACCACTAAATTATTAGCTTCATCTAACACAACAAAGATTTCATCAGATACTTTAAAAAGCAGGGTTAGCTCCTCCCACTTCTTTTTATAGCCATGAATTCTAAGTCCCACTGGGGAGGAAAAAAAAAAATGTGGACAAGAATCATCTGAAACTAGATACTTTTCTATGTAAGGTTTTGAAATGCCAAAGTTGACTTAAGCAATTCTTCAGCTGCGTGTTTTGAAATGCAATGTTTTTCTGCCCCGTTGATGCTGGGCTGTGCCTGCCTGTATCTCCCCCTGCGGCACGGGCTCGGGAGCCTTTGGTGGGGACAGCTGTGGCATGCTTGCTGTTTACCAACTCAACATGGAAAAACAAAGCTTTCATTCCTGGGCTATGGGAAACTTCTGATTAATCCACGCCCTCTCTCTGGGGAGGAAAACATAAACACTAATGTCTCTTCACCCTTTTATGCTTCGTATATTAATTATCCGACAAGGGCTCATGGCTTTTCCCTGTTCCAGTGTGCGTTTGCCCTGTAACTACTGGGAGGAGTCCTGCTTTGTCTATAAAAAGCTGCACTTTGCCAAACATTGTAACAGAACCGAATTTAGCGATTCACTCGCCCATCCTCTGCGGGGAGAGAGAACCAAGCACAGCCATGTTTGGGATCGGGAAGAAGTTTGCCGAGGAAGCCGCGCAGCAAGCTGAAAGCGCAGCACAGGTGGCAGGTAAATACAAATTGCTGCTTTCCCTCCTCCTGTGCCTTAGGTGTTAAAGTGAGTGCCCTGCTCCCACCCCTGCAGCTGGGAGCAAATCTGTCTCTTAGGCATGAATTCTATAGGTGCCCTCCTCAAGGGTGCAGTCACTATGTCCTGTAATCTCCAAACCCTCTAGCACTATAGTAAATGAAGGACTGATACTAACTACTGGTTTCCCACAACTTCTCCCACTCTGGCTTTTACTATGTGGGTGTCTAGATGATGCTCTGAAGAGAGGACAGCAGAAAGCCAGGAGGGGAGGCAAGGCTGCTGATTTAGGGCTTTGTTTTCTAATGTGAACAGCCATGATAAATATGAGTTTTGTCATAGTATGGTGAATTAGTTTCCCGAAGTTCTGAGGTCTTTGATCTGCTCAGTGCTGCACGAATACACGCAGTTAAGTCAGCTCCGCTCTGCTGTCAGTGCTCCAGTCCCACTGGTGCTGCAGCCACTTGCCACACCGAAAGCCGACGCGCAGTTGCGGGGGCTCAGCGTGCCTGAGTGAAGTTTACTCCTTTGGAGAGGCTTGCAGAATCGACCCTGGATTGAAATAACTTGCCACTTAGATGAGCCATTGTTAGTGAAGCTTTAATGCAGAGATCTGCGCTGGCGCAATTCCTGAAATGTCTGACCTTAGTATAACACATGAGCAGTGCAGACTGTTTCATATTTCTTTACATAAACTCTCGAAAGCAGACATTTTTTCTGTGACTTCAAACGCAGTAGAAACATTACTTGCAGGTTATGTTCCCAAGGAAGCAAGTGGAAAGCCTGCTACTTATTTACCATCTATTCTTGGTTCAGTTTGCTAGGAAGATGAAAGATGCCTAATTCTACACCCACTGCTCCCTTTTCCGAAGTTGATTCTTAAATCAAATATTTTTTTGTTGAAGCATGGAAGAGAAACACCAGTACATGGGGAATTGGAGGGTAGCCATCAATTTTTGCTTTCAAACGAAGATTTTTTTTTCATTTTGCTTTTGCTGTACAGTAGCCACAGAAATGCATATTTCTGAATGTTTTTTGATTTTCCTAACTTTTTTAACATCATCAAAATGTTGTCTATGGCTTCCTATGCTAGAAGACCGATATGGATGTTTTCGAAGTGGTATCTGTCATCTTGGAAGGAGCTGAGCAGTAATCTCAATGTTCAGCTGACTGAACTAAGTGTTTAGGAGTCAACTAATTCTAAGCAAAGTTTTTAACTAGTAGCAGCAGTCCTTCCTCTTCTGTCCCAAGCACTTGAAGCTGAACCAGTTGTTCAGATGCCAGCAGCCTGAAGCCCTTTGCCTGCACCCATATTCCCAGCAAGTCCTGTGCCATAGCACAGCCCTTCAGCTGGAGTTTGAGCCTGGAAAAACAGCAGGACCTCCCAGGCACTGGTCTGACTTTAGCCTCTTACTTCTGTGCCATCAGCACGTGCCTTGATGATGGGCAGTAAATACGCAGCATGTAATGCTGAACTCATGTCGCATCAGAGTCAGTACTGCATCCGCTCCTGGGAGTATTAGAAATAGAGGTACCTTCCAAATCTCCATTTAAATGAAAACAAAGGGGGATTTTATGCTAGTTTTTAACTAGAACAAGAATATCCAACTGGTGGCTGTACAACTACTAATTACCTCATCTCTGAACTACTGCTGCTGTGTCTTCACGTGCCCCAAAGGTGCAGTCCCATGAGCCACTGCAAAGAGCGAAGCGGCACAACTGGGCTTTCCAAGTACCTAAAATTAGCACCTACCCTATGGTTCCTGAAAGGAGCCATGAACTCAGCAGTGACCTAGGATTGCTAGGGGAAGCATTTTCCTTAGCCACACCTCATGAGCAGCGTACATCATCCACCAGTTAGGAAACTGTAGCAAAAGATGAGGCACAATGACAATTAACACATTTTTTAAGCATTAGAAAGTATCTTATGAACCCAAGGTGAAATAGGCCACTAGTTTTTACAAGAAACTAAATGAAACAACTACTGTTGAAGAGTCATTCAATGCAAGCTTGGAGACCTTTGAAGTTTTAGATGCTCCAAGTCCACTTAAATGTCCTTCCTCACCCCAGCACTTCTTCCTCATGTAAAGCCCATGAGGAATCTGGCTTGCTCAGTCAGCCACACCTTCAGTGTCTGTTGCGTGGAACACATCAATGTTTTTTAAAAAGGCAGTACTCGGAGCTAGGGGAAATAAAATAAATACAGGTTCAACTGAAAGCCATTTGTCCCAAACTTTTATTTGACTCTCGTGAGCAAGACTTCTCTGATCATAGCTATTGGAGGTTGATAATCCAAATATTTATCACTCTCTTGTAGACTGCAGTTCCTCCACTTTAAGACAATACTTGTTCATCATGTCTCAATAAGTCTTCTCAATTATTTCCACACCTTTAAAACTAGTCTGGTCTCTCACAGAATAGAGTTTTCTCTAGTGACAAGAGAAGTACTAAACTTTGATGTGCTGCCCTCATGGCATGCTGCTTCCAGGCAGCAAGCAGCAAGCTTTATGTAGTTGGTGGCAGAATCTTTACCAACCAAACTGCCCAAGCCTGCTCTCTGTAGATTCTAGTCAGACTCAGTAAAAGGAAGGTTTCATTGAACCCAATTCTCTACTAGGGTTTTTTTCCTGACGCTGTAGGTGACACAGATTGTAACTTCCATAATCTTCATCCATACCAAGATACATGATAATGTAGGGAACTACAGCCAACTTCCTAATAGCATCTCGTTACCACCAGAACAGGGTGCCCATCCTTCTAGAATAATTTTCCATCTTCTAGCCCAGCAACATCCAGCAAACCCTTCTAAAACGCGATTACTGAGTTTAGGGGAAGGGTAAAGGCTGCTTGATTTACACTTGTTTTTCTCCTGATTCCAGTTAACACGGTGGGCCAGACTGTGCAGCAAGCAGTGGATCAGGCTAAGGATGCCGGTCAGAAAGGTACGGTAATGTTTCTGTTTATTTCAATAACGTCACATCAGTGAAATCCCAGATAGGTCCCCCAATCCTGCCTTGCCCCTTATCCCACACCAGGTGAGAAAGGTATTGCAGTGATGCTACAGTTAACCTTTGTTTTTCTGTTTTACTAGCTCTTGACGAAGTCTACAAAGTTGCTGAAACTGGTGAAAAAGCTGTAAAAAATGTAGCAAATCAAGCAACTTCGTGGGGCAAAAGCTTTGGACAGTGAAGATAAATGTATTGCCACTGAAATTTTTGTAAACAAGTTTCTACTATGTGTACTCTTAAATAAAAGAAATAATTATACTCTACCTGGCTTGCATGTGTTCCTTAGGAATCCTTTGGTTACGCATATTAAAAAACATTCACAATCACTGGCCTGGAAAGACTGGATTACTTCACAGAACACACAGCTAAAGCTGTGCTATGCTGTTAACATAGAGAAACACTGTGGGTTTTTTTTTTTACGAGCTGTGGGATGGCTTGGAGTAGGCACAATGTAAAGTCAAGGACTTAAAGAGTTGGTCTCCCGTTTCGTCACTGAGTGCAAGTTGTGATTGTGTGTGTGCAAGCTGCACAAACTGAGCACCTAAACAGCCATTACAAGACAAGGTAAGTGCCTGCACACTTCTGGGACTGTACTTGTACTTCTGGTCTTATCTGTAAAATTGCAACTAGCTACCACGCTGATAAACTCAAGTGTGTTTAAAGTATACATAACCACTGTAAAAGAGCACTGTAATACTCAAAGTAATACTAGCAGCAGGACAAGGTGTTACTGCCAGCAGAGCACTTAGCTCACCACTGAACTGCTTAACACCGCTTGAGCTGGCTCTTTGGTATAACTTCAGTAGCTCTGCACAGCAAAGTATCGATGTGTAACACAGCACATAGTATGGCAATGGAGCCATTTACCACGCTTGCAGGGCTCCTGTCAAACACTCAGATGGACAGTAATCAAGCAGGAGTTGGAAGAGTGAGAATTGACTATGTATGGGCTGTAAAACAAACAAACAAAAAAACCTAAAACCAAACCAAAAACCCCTGCATGCACATGAACTTAGAGTGAGAAGGGAAGAAATGTCTTGCTACTGCAATGAGTAAGGAATCTGCTCGTAACTGGTGAGTCTGTACTAACAGAGTAGTTTAGAGGTCACTTACTTGGCATCTTGAAATCACAGCAAGAATTACCATTGCTTCAACACTTCCTCCTGATGGTGACAGTTGCCATCAAAGAAAACAGAGGTAGGTCTGAGTTCTTTGCTGGGACGAAAAATGATTATTCTACTTGCTCTTCTGTCTAATAAAGATATTTTTGCATTTAGTAGTTTGCAGGCAGCATGTAACCCCAAACATTGTAGTTGTGATCCTTAGGAAATTCACTCTCAGCTTCAGAGTACTTAGTGAGCCACTATTCAACACATATTATCTACATAATCAGCACTTCATCCTGCATGAGAGATTACAAATACTTGCTATGGTAAGGATGTGTTTCACTCTAGATAGTAGGTATAGTTCAGAGCAGGTTCAAATCTGTACTTAAATCTAACTTCAGGCACTGACTGGCTCCCTGTCAAACATCCTTCCAAGTTTCTTGGTGAATGTTTAGTGGCGTGTAAGTGAATACAAGCAGTGAAAATGTTGTTAGCTGGAAGATAAAATTTGTGTGTGGTGGTAGGTATATATAAGAACGGGAGCATTCCCCAGGAAGCTTGATCTAACACCTAATTGATGTTACAGTAGAAAACTTCAGTACAGTTATAAATAAAACCTACATCCCAGAGAGTGATTGTTTTCTTCCACTGTGGCTAGGAAAAGGCTAGAGCTGCTTTGCACCCAAGCCTCTACAGCCACACTAACTCATAGCAATTGTGTAAAATGTTACCTCTTTCTTCTCTCTGTTGCTGTTGTCAGGTCTTGAGAGGTATGTGCTGCAAAATGTGATAAGGAACGTGCAATTTTACCTTTTTATTAACTGTCTGATCACATTGAGACCGAGCTCAGCAAAGCTCAGCACCAGTGTAGTCTTAATATGAGACCACTTGAGAACAGGCTATCATAGGAAGTCTGGATTCACTGACAGTTTGGTTCTTGCTTTTAACTACATGGAAAGGGAAAATTAGCTGATGTACTGTCATTTTTAAGTCAGACTCCCAGCATCAATCTTACCAAGAATCTCAGCTCTTTGATAGAAAGTAGCCCAAGTACTCCTTATATTAGCCTTTGGATAGGCCCAGATTCACGTCTTACAGGTCTCCAACACTGTTAACAAGAGGTCAGTGACCATGGCAATCAAGCCGGCTGAGGAGAAATCTGGTCAACCTGAAGGGCTCATCTCTGGGTTTAGTAAAATCACACCTTGTGGTAGGTCTGCTTTCCTTCACGGTGTCCTGGGAAAATAAGCGTTAATGTGTGGGTGTACAAGAACATCAGATGTTAATGAATTGGGGAATTGGGTGTTGTGCAGCTTTTGGCTTTTTTTCCCTTCAAACTGAGTAGGAGGTAGAAAATAACCCAGTTACCTATCTATGTCAGCTTTCCATACACTTCAATACTGAAAGGGTCCCACTTTTCAAGTTTGTACAGCTAAATTAGAGGTGCTTTACTAGCAGCAGAAGAAAGGAAATGAGAGTGAGAAGGAGGGAGAACAACAGTAAATTAGCCAAATCTCTTCGCTGCTATTGCACTTTGCTTTCAACAGCTTTGCTGCCAGACACCGCAACTCAGCTTTTAAAATACTTTCTCTTTTCAATAATATAACTATATTTATTTGTGCATGTTTAGCATCTGATTTTTGGTGGAAGCAGGTTACAATTTGTCAGAGTTGAATTGTCACAATTTTAGTTTCAGTTTACTATCTAGTAAATGTTTACATAAAAACCGCACTTAAAAGTATGATCCAAGATACAGATCTTGTGTTTAGAGATCCTTACCTTGATCACTAACTCTTTAATGCCCAAAGGGTTCTAATTTTTTTTTAAAAATAGATGCCTATATATATACATACACTGTGCTTAAGTAATTGGAAGTACTTTTACAACCCGGATATCAGCATATACGATGGAGTAAGCCACTAGTTAAATGCATCACACAGGTTTATTGCTCACTGCTAACTACTAGAGTAGTTCTTCACAAATTTTAGAGGACAAAGTAAAGACCTGAAATGATTTACGAAATATATCCAACTTCAAAAGTCTTGCTGACGAGCAAGTTAAAGAGACGGAGATTTGTATTAATGAGCCCTGTAGGATAACTCTGAGACAGCATCACATGAATAAATGAGTGTGCTGTGAAGATTCACAGACTGATTGTAACTACAGAAAGCTACTGAATGAAACAGAAAACAGTAGTACAACAGTATAGTAGGTTTGGAAAGGTCAACTTTTTTAATAACTGCGCTTCTCTCCAGGTTATGTCATGCAGTTACAAAGTAGTTAGAAAAAAAGCATGAGTTTCTGGGAGGGACTAGTTGTCTTAAAAAAAACCACATTCATATTCATTACATAAATAACATCTGGCACTTCAAGGGGACTCCACTGGACAAAAGCCTTTGACTTTAAAAACTGTGCTTGATCCAATATTGTGTTGAGGTCCATTTTGTTGTACTCTAATATATTCAAAATGTTCAAGACCTGATGGGGGGCAGGGCGGGGAAAAGGCTGTGTGTGTTAATCCACCCTCTTACATTTAGAGCACCATTCTAGCTCCTCTGCAGTTTGGCCAATGATTTCTGGATTCAGTTTCACTGTAGTTGTTCACTGAGGCAGCATCTAAGTTTCAGAAAGCCTCTGAAAGCAAAAGACGGAAAAAGAATTCCAAAAAAACAGAGTATGATTGTTTACCAAATTCAGACTATCCCTTTTCTTTCCAAAAAAGGAAACAACTTACAGTCAGAATAGTTATGTAGATACTTGATTAAAAATGTAACTAGAGTTGCTTGATAGTTTCAGCTTATAAAAATATTAGTCTGTCACCTCTACATACTTCATGGTGATAGTCAAGCTATCCTGAACAAGCAATAAAAGGCAGTCCTGTAACAGCAGCACAGTTAAAGAAAAAACATTGCCTAAAGAGAATCAGGCCTGAAGCTTTACTAAAAATAAAAATTAGACCCCTATCAAAGTTAATCCCTGCTGGAGGCCCATTCTTCCTTTGACAATGCTACAGCATTGATCATACAAGGCCTTGCTGAAAGTGCCAAAGCCAAAATTTCATCATCAAACAAAAGTGCATGAAGTAATAATGAGCTAAGTGCTCATCTAGTACAGTATCTGATCTGAAGTTTGAGAAGTGGCTCAGGTGGCAAGACCACTCTTTCATACATAAAATGTACCATTTTGTTTTGTAGGTGAAATACCCAGAATGGCCCCGACAAGTGCAGATGAACTGTTATCTTCAGATACATACTTGTATACAATTTCCTAATCCACAGATTTTTATTGTAAAAAAAGGCTAGTTTGGACCAAAACTAATTGAGAATAGAATCCACTACAATGTCAGAAGAAGAGAAAATTTTGTGGTTACATGTAAACTTGTGATAAGCTTTCTCAAGAAGAGGGTACGTTAACGGCAAGAGGGATGGGATACAATAAGGAGCAGTAACGGCCTCTTTATGTAAAGGTCAGGCCAGCCTCATTGTACACTTTGAAGACTTTCTCAATTGCATTGACATAGGCAGCTGTTCTCAGGTCCAGACCCAGGTTGTACTTCATGGCAGTACGCATGATTTGCTGAAACAGAAAAGGTTGTATGTGATTTCTGCAAGCTTCTCCGTAGGAGCTACACTAGATTTTGCTTGGAGGATCTAAGTTAGGAATACAAGAGCTGCTATATTGGTATCAGAGCTCTGATCTTTTGTGGATCGATTCTAAAATTTCTTGACTCATCTTACAACTGAGATCTGAAAGGGAAGAAAATCTTTCCCAGATTACTACACTGCCCCTTTGTAGGTCTTGGATCCATATATACTTCAGATACAGGAAGAGACAAGATGTCTCAAGCAGTCTTTGCCCCACTAATTAGAAATACTGCATAGAGGGATTAATCTAAAATTGCTGATGGTAAAGCACTCTTAGGTATGTGTCACAGATTAGTCAGGTACTAGAGAACGACTAAAAAGCTTCTAATTACTACAGCTTCTACTAGGAAATACTTCCTGATTTCATGTATTAGTCTCTAATGTTTTCTATAGCCAGTTGGCCATCCTGGCACAATGCAGAAATACCTCATTCTTACAGTGACTTCCATTATAATGAAC